AGCCTTTTTGTGGGAAAAAATAAGTAAATATTAATCTTCAATTAATTATCCTTTCCTGGAAACGTGGAAAAAAAAATTTGTAGTCTCTGATTAAAGGACAAAATTGAATAAAATATTTAGAAGGATCGACATGGGAATATATATATATATATTTTTATAACTGGGAATAGGTTAATATTAAAACACTGGACTAATATTTATCTATATTATTTGAATTCGAATGATATATTATTTTACATGCTGTGAATTTTCTAGGAGGCAGACATCTATAGCTCATTTATGTATCTGTGTACATAAAAGAAGAGCAATAAATAATAGGTTTCATTCCTGGATGTTGGAATTAACTACCAAAGATTTGATGACCTGCAAAACAAATCTTTTAAAAGTCTCAATAAATACTGATGTGATGTATGATCGGTTTTTTTTTCTTTTTTAATACAACAAATTTAAAGGTAGGAAAATTTGATCCTTCACCCTCAAAGGAAGGAGTAATTAGGTGTCAAATACCTCTAAATATTGAGTTTGTAAGAAAAATATAAATAAAGTCTCATATTGGCTACGAATGATCACAATGATATATAAGATATGACAATTATCTCTTTTGATATGAAGTTTTTTGTGTGAAACCAAAAGCAAAGTTGTGAGAGAGACCCAAAACGGATAATATCATATAATTGTGGAGATACTTGGAGTACTCAGGGTTCCGTTGTCCTTAACATCAAACTATGTTGATGTTGACCAATTAGACGATAGTTGACGACAATTAAAGAAAATATCATAGTTTCAACATTTCATATATAGAAGAATGATTTTTTTGTTAGTCCAAGAAATGTGGCACTGGCGGTAGGTTTCAACCTCAATTTTATGAAAATTAATATATACCTTATTTATTAAACTCTATTTAAACTTGTGCAAGGGTTATATGGTCTATTCATTTAAAATTTGTTGGTAGATAAATGATAGTTATATTAACCAGAGTCAACAGAAATATAACTTAATTAATTAAGACATTTATTAAGAAAAAAGTTATGTTAAGGAGAAAACGTGACACAATATTTGAAACACTTTTCAAAGATCATGATCATGGAGACAAAATTATTATGAAAATGAGATACTGAATATTTTGAATGAGAGAGATATTTATATGGTTGGAATGTAAAGACCAAGATTAGAATAATTAGTTGAATCACCGTGTAATCTACAAAAACGTTAATGTATGTATATATTGGAGTAACTACAAACAATGATATAGAGAGAAATGGCTGAGTAACACGCCTTTCTTTTAGTGATATTGATCATCAATGATGTGCAGTCATAATTGACCTAACATATGACCACATCACAAAAAGATTTTCTCAAATCTCCTCAACTTTTACTCAATCCCATGCTTCAATCAAAGTCAACTCTTATCTCATGGTGGTCACTCCATCAAAGTTGAGGGCTACTCAAGCCAAATACACATTTGTATATAGTTTGCAAATTTAAGAGAAATACAAAATGTATATAATTATCTCGATGTTCACCTGGTTAACTATCGTTACCGTGGTATATCCACTAATAATCTAAATGATTGTTTCACAAAGTTGACACCAAAGGAAAATAGTGTGGTTGGTGAAGATTCGAGACGAGGTGACACTTTGGTAGTGGCCTTACATGGATTATGACGTGGCTCAATCAGAAATCTGCCAATATGTAGTGCTCGGTCACATGTATACTCCAAATCTTAAGTTACGTTAGAATTTAACTAAAGTCAGTGTCCAACAAAACTTAGTTTAAATGCAAAAGATTGTATATTTTTAGAACGTGAGACTCTGATTTTTATATAAGTGTGTGGTCACATTTTCTCGTTAGAATAATTTTTATAACGAATATCAATAGATTTTACGGGTCTATCTGAACATTGTTTATTAAGGATCCTATATTGAAAAGAAGAGAACTAACAAAGAATAGACATATATTACTCTTCTCATGTACAACTATTTACGCTCAGACTGTGAATCCCACGTGCGAGGATAAGAAAGGCAAAAGGAAGAAGTGAAGGAGACAGCTTTTAAAACTGGTTTTCTTTAATTTTCAATGTACCTAAGCAAGAGAAGTGATTTTGAAACTGAAAGCCAGAAAGGTAGAATTCTATTTCTGGTGTTCTCCTCTTTTTACCATATTATCCCTTTCTTTCTATCCTTTTTACTTCTAACCTACATGCTTTGATTTTAAATACCATGTCAGTCCTTCTACTTTCATCTTTGCCCAATAAATGTCATTCTCTACTTTCAAAAATAGCTCTAAAAAAGTTTGTGTGTTTTTGCATGAGTTAGAACTAGAACGCAGCATACCCACGATAGAGTTCACGAGTGTTGTTTTTTAAGCCTTTAAAAGTTATTCTTTCAACAAAAGTTAAAGCCTGATATCACTATGCTTTTTTGAACAACACATCATTGGAAAACCCACTCTTTCAACTTTCATCTTTCATCTTTATCACCCGTTGCTGTCAAAATTAATTTCCCCCCACAGTCACACTGGGGTAAAATCATGTTTATATTTAATTAACATTCAATTAAAAGAAAACGAGGTGCCTTCCAAAATTGCCGATAGAATTTGGGGTTCACAGAAAATCAAATTGCAGTAGATTTTCAAAGATTTAGGGGGGGGGT